AGCAGGACTTTGAATACTGCATATTTCTAACTGTGCAGTATTTTATTTCAGCCCAACTTCCCAAATGCAATAAAAGTTAGGAAAGTAGCGAGCTACTGCACATAGCGTCTATCATCTGAACGATGCTTCTCAAACCCCTTTAGGCTCTGGTGAGACTCTTGCACTCATATGCTCTTTCACTTACACAAAGGCAAATACAAGGATTTGGTTTTCAGGTGGCCCTCAGCAAGGTCTGGCTCGAAAATCTCTGAGTAGTCTGTGTTTTTGGGTAACACTGTTGCATGTTTTAATAAATATTCCCTCACTCATTATTTTTCCCCACTTATCATGGGCAAAATAAGTTGGTTTGTTAATGAAAATAATATATATATATATATATTTTCTTTTTTTTTTTTTTGCAGATGGCTGCCAACAACAAGACGGTGCAGGAGAAAACACAAACTCCATCAGCTCGAACGGGGAGGATTCAGAGGAGACACAGATGAGACTGCAGCTCAAGAGGAAACTACAGAGAAATCGCACGTCCTTCACACAGGAGCAAATTGAAGCTCTGGAAAAAGGTCCAGTAGACTTTATATCCGCCATAAGGAATTAGTTTCTTGATGTGAATGATGTTACTGTAATTGTTGTTCGTTAAAATACACACCTTCCAGATGATCATGATCTTATTTGAATCTAACAGAAAATAAAGGTAGAAGAAGTAATTAGGATTTTAAAGCAAATGACAGGCCTAAAAGTCATGGCACCTGGCTTGTACATGTATAACTGGATTTAGGGCCTTTTGACACACACTTATTTAACTAACTGCCCTGCAAAAAATGAATCCACCATCGGACCTTATTTATTACTCTTTACTGACCCTTTTTTTTTTTTGCTGCTACAGGAATTGAAAGAACTCACTATCCAGATGTTTTCGGCACGGGAGAGACTAGCAGCGGAAAATCGACCTGGCCTGAAAGCAAGAATACAAGGGGTGAGTGACCAGATCGGGAAAGTTGTTGTTTTTCGTTTTTAAAGACAAGGGAACAAATTCCTGTAGAAAAAAAGAAAAGGAAAAAGAAACTAAGAAGTGATCTTCCGTTTGAGGGTGATTGGTTCTCAAATAGAAGGCAAAAGTGGAGGCGACGAGGAAAAGCTGCGGAAACGCACGCCGGCAGCCGAACAACAACTTCCTCTTAGTCTTCATTCCCATCAGGGCAGCACTTTAGCACCAGCGTCTATCCAGGCCATCCCTCAGCCCACTACACCGGCGTAGTCCCAACACAGCTTTTGGCAATACTCACGAGCAGACCCCCACCACAACCCCTTGAGAAATATATAAAATAAGATAATAAGATAAGAATTTGCCAGATTATCAATGTGTCTCGACGTATATGGTGCGCACGATCATAAATTCGCTACACTGCGTCATACACGTTGCGTTGTCTGAAGTAGGTAATGGCATGTCGACCGTACTCCCACTGTTAAGTTAGGCTCGAGACTGGCCAATTGTTGTCTATCACTCCTCTAAACTTATTATTATATGACCATCGAGCACTTGACTTGGTTCATATGGAAGTGAAATAATTAGGACGGAGGGGGGCAGCTGGCCTCCGGATGGCTGTGCGCTTTAGGAATTTGGAGCATGAAGGAAGCCCTGCGAGTGGGTTTTCCTTTTCACCGGATCGGACTGATTGAGCTAGAATTGCTGTTCTCCGGTGACTATCTGCGTAATTACCGAATCAGGCAGGAGGGGGGGCCGGCCCCAAAAAACCCCATCAGACAGAGCAAGCTCACAAGTCAATCACCTGAGACACACACTGTACAGTAATTCTGCCCGGGCCTATCAGCCTGTCAGGTAAAGGCGTCACCTCACGCACGCACCACTTAACCGTTAACGGAGACGACCTCTCACAGCCACGGGTGGGGGTGGAGGGGTGGAGGAGGGAGGACTGAGTGCCATTTCAGCGGGCTTTAACCACATTTTCATCTTCATTCCACAGTGTCTTTACACCTCGGTGTAGATTGCTTCGGGTAGATCGCTCGTACGCTGTTTGTGCACTCACACTGCAACTGAACCTGTTACAGTTGCGCTGCGCTCCTCTCTCTCGCGCTAGGTGCCCAGCCTGGCGCGATGGTCTAACAACAACGATCTCCTACCCCTTAATTGCAGAGTAGGCTCTAGAGTATATATGGCACTCAGACTCTATGCCTCTCGCAGCTGAGCGGTGCTGAGTTGTTTATAACAGTAGCCCTCACCTATTTGGGTTTTTGGTTCTTGTGATTTCAATAGAGGTTTCAGCCTCATAGTAAGGTTTTGATGACATTGGAGCTGTTGATATGGATTGGTATACGAGCGTAGCGTAGGATTGGCTCGGCTAAAGTTCTACACCATGAGTACCTGGTACAGAAACAAATTTGATATCTAGGACTCCGGAAAATGAAGAGATAACACTCACTTACCATAAATGTGGTCTCCTGTACATAGATATGTATGCTAAGCTTTTCTCCAGAGGGAATCTTGTCTAAAGCTAGGGAAAGGTAAATTAAATCGGGTGCAACCGACTTCTGCCTTTGAGAGTTGGTACTCA